TTGCGCTGGGTGCCCGCTGGAGAAGCCTCCCACCGGGGGCGGCTCTTGCTCATCAGTTCTCGTGCCAGCGCCATCCCTTCCCGCAGCTCCTTCTGCTCCCTGCCCGGCGTCCCTGCAACACCGTGGCGTTTTACTTGGTGGCAACGTCTGTGTTAAGTTAGTGTCCCCCTAGGTTAAACGAGCCGTGCGTGCCGAGCCTCTGTGTTTGCCCTCTGCCTTGAACGGGGAGCTCTGCGATATGTCACTTCGCCACGCTGACGTGCCGTTCCCCTGGTCGGGGCGGGAGCCGTGCTGTGGGGTGCCCCCCGGTTGCTGTAGGGCTCGTTTTAACACTCTTGGGCTGCCTTTGCGGCGCAAGGTCTACGTGACGGAAGAGGGAGGAATCTGCTCAGCTTTCACCGGAGGGATCTGGCATTTGTGCCTTGCAGCGGGCAGGACCGAGATGCTGCGAGCGAGGGTTAGATAAGGCAGGCTGCGGACAAGGGTTGTCTCTGATCTCGCTGGAGTCGAGCCTGCTCATTGCCAGGAAATTTGGCCGGCAAAAGGGCAGTGACTTTGCCAAGGCTACACAACGAGTTGCTGACAGAGCCAAGGCATTCCCAGCCACCCAGGACTTTGCTAGACCTGCGGCCCCTCCGAGCCAAGCGGACTTGCTGCCTGGTGTGCGGTCGTGGAGAATCGTTGCATTAGAGGTCTGGCTCTGGGCCACAAGCAGCAGACAGCTCGCAGGCACGAAAGCAGCAACGCTCGCCCTCTGCGTCTCCAAGTTGCCCATCGTAGGTGGCAGGGTGCTGGATCACCCACTCCTGCTGCTGCGCCCTGCCTGCAGCGCACGGGGAGTAACCAAGAACGAGCCCCAAGCAAGATTTGCGGCTGAGGCGGCAGCCCCTGAGAAGAGAGGATTATGGTGGAAATGCTGACAGGCGTTTCGGTATAAGTGCACGAAATAGCACCGCTCTCATTTTCCATTCTGGCTGCTATGGCTTGTGCTGCGCGATGCGAAAGTGAGACCACATTTTCCTAGGGCTATGGGTTCTGCTGTAATTGGTGCACAAAGTTACTGTGCTAGCACTTTCTCCGGAGGGTGACCTGGTACCTTCCCCGCCTGCCCCGAGCCCCGGGGCCGTCCCCTCACAGCCAGGTGCGGGGAGCTGCAGGACACCGTGCTGTGCCGTGCCGTGCCGTGCCCTGCGTGCCAAGAGCATGAGCTTGTAGGTGCAGGACTTGCACAACACGTGGCTCACCAGATCTGGGGTGAATCAGGGTGGCCAGCTTGGCTCTGAGCCGCGTCTGAGCAAAGAGCTGCAGCGGGGATAGGAGGTGTACGAAGCAAGGGCTTGCCCTAGTTCCATCTGTGCTTGAATCAATTTTTAACCTTTTGATGTAGAGCTTGGTTGTTGTGCTGGGTGTTGCAGGACCAGGCCTGAGCGTCTGGCCTTTGCCGGGAGCACTGCTTCCATCATCGTCTGTCAGCTTGGGCATGTCTGTGGCCTAATTCCCTGTCTAGGCAAGGGCACCTGCAGGGCATCCTGGCCACACGTGGCATAACACAGCAGATCCAAGCTCGGAGGTGGGGCTGGGTGGCTTTTCCAGGGTGCTTCACTCATTGCTCTAATGAAACCTACCTCTTCCCTCCAGCACTATGGACATTTTCCCTACTCTGGTGGCCCTGGCTGAAGCTGAGCTTCCTCCAAACAGACGCTTTGATGGTTTAGACGTGTCCCCGGTTCTCTTTGGGCAGTCAGACAAGGGGCACAAGGTAAGGCAGTGTCACTATTTGGTTAATTCCTGCCACCACCTCCCTCGTTGGTGGTAGTTATCATTTCTCCTCCTGTCCCGCCGCGGCTCATGGGAGGCAGCAGGTCAGTGGCAGAGTTACCACTGCAGTGCTGCTGTTCATCCTACTCTCAATCTCGTCCTTCCAAAGCCGGGTGCATGCTGTGGCACTGCTGGGCTCGGGCCTTGGTGTCACGAAGCTCTGACGAGAGCCCGGTGTCGTGGGCCGGGCCACTGCGCGCTGCC